TCCACCTGGAACTGATATCTAGAAGGTGGTGTATGATGAACTATTCCTACTGACTCCACTTCTGGACGGAGCGGGGGAGAAATGATCATGAGTCTGATGAGAGTGGTGAGCCTGATGAGTGTGGTGAGTCTGATGAGTGGTGAGCCTGATGAGTCTGATGAGCGTGATGAGTCTGATGAGCGTGATGAGTCTGAGGAGAGTGATGAGTCTGATGAGCGTGATGAGTCTGAGGAGAGTGATGAGTCTGAGGAGAGTGATGAGTCTGAGGAGAGTGATGAGTCTGAGGAGAGTGATGAGTCTGATGAGAGTGATGAGTCTGATGAGAGTGATGAGTCTGATGAGAGTGATGAGTCTGATGAGCGTGATGAGTCTGATGAGAGTGATGAGTCTGAGGAGAGTGATGAGTCTGATGAGAGTGATGAGTCTGATGAGCGTGATGAGTCTGAGGAGAGTGATGAGTCTGATGAGTCTGATGAGAGTGATGAGTCTGATGAGAGTGATGAGTCTGATGAGAGTGATGAGTCTGATGAGAGTGATGAGTCTGATGAGAGTGATGAGTCTGATGAGAGTGATGAGTCTGATGAGAGTGATGAGTCTGATGAGAGTGATGAGTCTGATGAGAGTGATGAGTCTGATGAGAGTGATGAGTCTGATGAGAGTGATGAGTCTGATGAGAGTGATGAGTCTGATGAGAGTGATGAGTCTGATGAGAGTGATGAGTCTGATGAGAGTGATGAGTCTGATGAGAGTGATGAGTCTGATGAGAGTGATGAGTCTGATGAGAGTGATGAGTCTGATGAGAGTGATGAGTCTGATGAGAGTGATGAGTCTGATGAGAGTGATGAGTCTGATGAGAGTGATGAGTCTGATGAGAGTGATGAGTCTGATGAGAGTGATGAGTCTGATGAGAGTGATGAGTCTGATGAGAGTGATGAGTCTGATGAGAGTGATGAGTCTGATGAGAGTGATGAGTCTGATGAGAGTGATGAGTCTGAGGAGCGTGATGAGTCTGATGAGAGTGATGAACGTGATGAGAGTGATGAGTCTGATGAGAGTGATGAGTCTGAGGAGAGTGATGAGTCTGAGGAGAGTGATGAACGTGATGAGAGTGATGAGTCTGATGAGAGTGATGAGTCTGATGAGAGTGATGAGTCTGATGAGAGTGATGAGTCTGATGAGTGTGGTGAGTCTGAGGAGAGTGATGAGTCTGATGAGAGTGATGAGTCTGAGGAGCGTGATGAGTCTGATGAGAGTGATGAGTCTGATGAGAGTGATGAGTCTGATGAGAGTGATGAGTCTGAGGAGAGTGATGAGTCTGATGAGAGTGGTGAGCCTGATGAGAGTAATGAGTCTGATGAGAGTGATGAGTCTGATGAGAGTGATGAGTCTGATGAGAGTAATGAGTCTGATGAGAGTGATGAGTCTGAGGAGAGTGATGAGTCTGAGGAGAGTGATGAGTCTGATGAGAGTGGTGAGTCTGATGAGAGTGGTGAGCCTGATGAGAGTGGTGAGCCTGATGAGAGTGATGAGTCTGATGAGAGTGATGAGTCTGATGAGAGTAATGAGTCTGATGAGAGTGATGAGTCTGAGGAGAGTGATGAGTCTGATGAGAGTGGTGAGCCTGATGAGAGTAATGAGTCTGATGAGAGTGATGAGTCTGATGAGAGTGGTGAGTCTGATGAGAGTGATGAGCCTGATGAGAGTGATGAGTCTGATGAGAGTGATGAGTCTGATGAGAGTGGTGAGTCTGATGAGAGTGATGAGCCTGATGAGAGTGATGAGTCTGATGAGA